AAGAATAAGAATAATAAATGAAAGATCAAATGAATGAAGACGCAGTTGTTCTAATAATGACAAGGGCAATTGTGCTTGAGCTAAGTGAATGCACTCCAAGGTTTGGATATTTTTTCTTAACGCTTTTATTTTATAATTGTCGAGTAGTAACAGTACTTATTAACAGAGTTTGGACACGATGTTTTTTTTTCTTTTCTTTTTTCTTACCAATATATCGTTATTATTTTATGGCAAAGTTAAAACTGTGAATTCATTTTGTACCTTTGGTCCTTCTCCACCAATTTGTCCTGTGGCTCCACGTTTACCAACTAGTCCCTGCAAATATACCAATTCATATAGTATAGCTGTCAGTAACAACTGGGCGCACTGAACATCAAGGTAAGTTGCACTTCGATTCTTTGAGATTATAAGTTCCACTCGTACAAAATAAGAAGTATATCAGATTGATGCTGTACTTTTGTTATGGATTGCACGATCAAAAAAGCGTTTCCAGAAGGTACAAAACATGGGGTACTACTCACGATTGGTCCTTTGCTGCCAGAAGGTCCATTTACGCCTGGTGGTCCTACAGGGCCCTGTCGAGGTTAACAGGGTATTTACATACTATGAAATCAAAAGACACATGCGGGTTTTAAGCTATGATATACGAATGTACTTCTCTACCTGAGCCCCAGTTTGTCCTGGCTCACCAGGGTTTCCAGTTAAGCCAGTGGAGCCCTGCAATGAAACAGAGTTTATGTTATAGCTTAGATCTCGTTTAATACGTTATACATGCTTTGTCTGTGGAGGGACTTCCACAATAAATCCATAGAGACTTTGAATTCTTAAAAGATGAATAAAAAACGAAGTTGAACTGACTGAAAATCCTGTTGAGCCTCGAGAACCTTTAGGTCCAAAATCACCGTTGAGTCCCTGTCGAATGTATCAAAAACACATCAAGTTAATCGTTTAATCAGATGCCCTATCAAAATTCTAGAAGCGGTTATCAACTCAGCTTTAGCATGTCAGTATATACTCTACCTTAATGCCATTTTGTCCTCGTTCACCAAGAGATCCCTCAGATCCAGCTTCTCCCTAGTATGTGAAAATATCTTTTTTTTTAAGGGAAGCTTACCACAAATCAATCCAAAGAGTAATACGGTTTTTGGCCACCTTGACCTTTCAGAATGCATCTCGTTTCAAGCAAATTACACGTGAATGTCCTCACCCCACCCCACCCCTCAACTGTACCGGTATTCCAGGGTCTCCTTTATTTCCTAAGTCTCCAGGTGCTCCCTCCAAACCCTGAGTAGTATCAAAAAGAAACACATATCACATACAGGGACACTGTAATACAATAAATATCTTAGTCTACCTGTCATAATGTTTTCCTTCTTCAATGTAACTCAGATCTCCTCTATCTTCAGTTGCATTCCAAAAGAGAGTTCAACAGAAGCGAATCAATGATTTTTTATTCTTTTGGGTGGGTTGAGTAAATATTACTGACCTGTTCTCCTCTATCACCAGCTTCTCCCTTTGCACCCACAGAACCTGCAATTCCCTGACAAAAAAGTATATGGAAGTGATTAAAACCACCATTCATCATAGTCACAGAACTGGTCTCTGTCCTTCAGTTCCAATTATGCAGTCATATGTACACTGAACAAGTCAGACAACATGATGGTTATATTACCAGTTCTCCTTCTTCTCCCCTTTCTCCAGTCATCCCCTCATCTCCGTTTGGACCCTGAGGTTGTAAAATAGTGCCAAATAGTTTTTCTTAGTCTTAAGCATGTGTGAAATGTTTTTCTTCACTTAGTATCTGAACTCAAAATGTGTCATGTTATGCACCAATTCTCCACACAGGACTGGCATAGTGCAAGGCCCAAGGTCAGTGGAAATGGGAAAAAAGATGGGCAAGCAAAAACGAGACAGGAATTAGGTGCTTTCTTTATTCCTCCCACAAATATGAACTAAGTACTTTTCAAGGTTTAAAAACAGGCATCTACTGACTCACAAACTAGTTCATCGTAGTTGAGTAGGTAGAGCATCCCACCAGGAAATTGGAAATCATCACCTCTTTACATGTACTTGAACCAAACACTACTTCTCTTCCTACGCCTCTTTACCCATTTTTAAAAAAATCAGTAGAATTAATGCCCCATTCAGATATTAACTTTTTTAGAGTATGGTAATTGAATATTCATAAAAATAAAAATGAAAGTATCATTTTATTTTGTACCTTAGCTCCTTTTAGACCCGTTGGCCCCTGAAGACCCATCTCTCCAACAGGACCCTGAGTAAGGAACAAACAACAATTGCACTGTCGCTCCAATATGATGGCCTGGATTTTAAAACAGGATTGGGACTGAGATCAGTGAAAAATAAACCTGTTTGTATGATTGTTATAAACATGTAAAGATTATAACCAGCTAAGCTGAAGACTAAGGTAGAAATTTAACAGCATATTCACCGTTTGACCTCTGTATCCTATAAGACCCTTAATACCAGCCACTCCTTTCTCGCCCTATGAGTCAAAGAATATTATGGTATGCTGTCACACTTGTTAATATGACAGAGAAGAACAATCATATTCAGAGTATGGATTTTTACACAGGTGCTTGAGACATGTGAGGAGCCAAAAGGGATGTATTGTTTTGCAGGAGAAGACAAATACACACAGATATTATGTTTTGTTTTCAGACAAAATAGATCAAGGTGTTCAGTTTCTCAAGTCTATCCGCTACGTAAAAGAACCAAAAATCTGATGCATGATAATGTTAAGGTGTAAAGCTCTAAACTGATGTTGAAAAACTTCTCTTACCGTGTCTCCCTGAGTGGCATGAAGTCCAGGAAAACCATTGTTGCCTGGAGTTCCCTGAAATCACAAAAGTGTATCATAATGTACTGCTATACCCAAGTATGGTTGGAAGTTTTATAATTTGACTATTTTCTAAATAAAATTCTCAGATTAAGTTTCTAAAGCTTCAGTAACTACGCAGTCAATACTGTGTCAAGCGGTCAACTTGTATTAAGCGGACAGTTGGTAACTCCTGAATTTGTTTCTCCACTATCACGTTAATTTGTTTACCTCTACTAAGCAGTCACCGCTATTAAGCGGTCGCGGTCACCCTTTATTAAGTCCCAACTGCCTGTTTCTATTGTCCCCCACCTGTACTGAGTGGTCACCTAAACCTGAATCACTCAAATAAAACTAAGAATAATCGTTCAAATAATTTTAATCCATGTTTCTCTCCCAAGATCAAAGTAACATTTTCAAGCAAGATTCTGCACATTATATGGCCAATTATGGCATTAAGTGGCGTTGTTTATTGTTTTTTGGAATACCTCTAATCTGTGGAACCTGTATTAAGAGTCAACCTGTACTGAGCAATATCACAGGCTACAAGGGCATTGGTTGGATGTAACTGCATTGTTTGTCTTATTTTATTTAAGGGGTCCCAGTGTGACATCATTGAAACGGTCTTTTAAGAACAGATTACTCTATTTTGGCGTATCCCTACCTTTTTTTACCCTAAACTTCCTAACTTTCATACTAAATGCTAAGTAATGATATGTATTTTACCCTGTTTCCTTCTGGACCACGTTCTCCTTGCTTTCCATTTTCTCCACTCGCCCCCTAGAATTAATAATTAACGTGATAGCATAAAAAAAGATTAATCAGACAGAGAAAATCTATCTGAACACAACTCTTAGTAAGTTGTGGCACAAATGCACAATATCTATCAGCTACCTATGTAGGTCTTGATATCAATTACTTTCTTTGAATTTCATGTTCAAAATTTTTGTGAACCCCCCTCATACAAGTATGAATTGTTGAAAAATATCTTAGTTCCTTTGCTTCTAATGGTTTCCCATAAATAATTATATTTAGCCTCATCTTCGTATCAGTGATGACCAAATGATAAACAATCAAAGCTATTGCTGACCTTTTGTCCCATCGATCCTGATTGGCCGGGTCGGCCATTCAAACCTGCATGTCCCTGGAGTGAGAACAACAAAGACTCTGAACTTGAAATCTATTGTACTGTTTTTTGGGTTCGTTCATCAGGGTCAGCAATTTTAGAATGTGTGCGAGATTTTTCTAGATTTTACAAGTGACCCCTTAAAAAATAAAATACAACTGGGGACTGTACTGCAACTCATTTGACACTTTTTAATACTTAAGTTCTTAACCTCTTCTGATATAATCTTTAATCTATATCTGAAAGACAAATGGTAAAATAGAATATTTTTGTCAAAATAAGTGAGATAATTACCATTTCCCCTTTGACTCCGGGCTCTCCCACAGCACCTGTCGCTCCCACTGCACCCTACAAGTGACACCCATACAAAGATTTATTTCCAAGCACAGATTCAAGTTTGTGTAAAAAGTTTACTTCATCTCTTACCCGTGGACCAAGGCTTCCGTCCTGTCCTATTGTTCCAATGGGTCCAGGCAATCCCTGCAAGGACATTTTATCAAAATCATTCTAATTTTTAGGGAAAAAGCCTTAACTTCAAATATCTTTGATTAGCAGTATTCATTGCATCTTTAATTTGAAATTTCCCAGTTTTTATTTATTATTTAGCTTCGCCTAATCATCTCAGGAAGGGAGACCACTACAGCTATAGCCAATTACAGTGGATCCCGCGTTAACAATGACAAGGCCAATTCCCAATAAACAGGCCAGGCCACATCACAGTAATCTCGTTAGTGGGTTCTTTAACGTCCCCTGCCTAACCAAATTGACTAATTAATAGAAGCAGGAGACGGGACCTACGGTTTATTCGTTCTTATCCGAGAAGACTAAAATGTCTATCCATTTTTTGACATTATAGAAAGGTAGCACATTTTCCTGCACTGCAGGGCTCTGGTTCGAACTAGTTGTTGACCGCTGTGATTGGAAGGTATTAGTTTCGAAATTTTTTTAAGTATTATATCGGACTAGAAGGTATATTATATTATTCTTAGTCTGTCCAAAACCTCGTGTTTTTTCGATCTTTAAATTTTAGTCGCCTTCATCATTTCGGCCTCGTTCCACTCTGGTTGTCGCCAAGGGTCGCTGACCCGAAATGAAAGAAGGCCTTTGGCCAACGAGCTCTTAGAGGATCTTGGTAGTTCACCTCCGGTGAGGGAGTCTATGAGGACAGGCCAACTTTCCTTTGTGTAAGTATAAAATATCAGGGCCACGATAATTTAATTAAATCAGTTTCGGACAATGAGTTAGTTCCCTTCTTCGATAGTGTATTGTCTTTATTGCCTAACATTCAATAATTCAACTTGACTATTGTTCTTATGTTGATGCCGAAAAGACGACGAGGATGACATGAAACTCATCATAGAGTTTCAAAAGGAGAAGCAGGACGGGGAAAATGTTGAGTACAGGTACTCATTATAAAGTTATTTAACGACAGTCATAGACAGTCCAGCCCTCCCAATTGAGCTAACCGGGAGGCGGTTTAAATTAAGTTTATTATGTTTTAGTTTGACTGATAATGTTTGTTTTCTGACCATATTTCCCGGTCTGCCAATATTTCCTTGAATGCCTTGTGGTCCAACACTGCCCTGAAAATTGCAAATAATGATACAAATTTTCTAGTGGACCATAGGCATGTTATTTTTAGGAAATCTCATGATATTGGCTATCTTAATTAATGCATCAGTAGAATTTTTCGAATTTTCATTTAAATATATCAAGAAAGAGAAAATAAAAAGCAAAGGTAGTGATCAATTTTACTGTTTTCCTTGTTGATTTGGGGGTGATACAATGCCAGTTAAGACAAAGAAATGGTACGAGCCCACGATGAACCACATAGACTAATAGAAAACAAAGTGTCACCACACACAGTTTATGCAAGAAACAGAACAGTTCGTTCTTAACTAATTTATAGCAATAAAAATTGGTTTAACTTACCATGTCTCCTGTTTCTCCTTCCATCCCAGAAATACCGGCATCTCCCTACCAGGAAATTAAATGAAGCCTTCTTCACACTACACTGGCTACATTTAAAGGTGGTGTTTTTCATTCTTAAGACAAGGAGCTGTTTTTTCTCTGATTATTTATTAATGTTTTCTATAACACCACAAGGCTAGTAGATGTGCTCGAATTCACTATAGAGCATGCATGCACTCACCAAGGGCCAAGTTATTCCAATTAGTTTTGTCAGCATTTAACCCATCGGAGCTTTGTTTCTGTTTGTTTATTTGTTTTTTTTAGGTGCCGTAGTATTCTAGCTTGAATTACTCATTTAGGAGTTGTTCTATGTGATAATGTTTATTATTGAATAAAGAGGCTAAATTTCTAAAGAAACCGTGGTGCTGCGTCGGTGGGGGAGTATAATAAGATAAATTTGGTTTTATTAACTCAGTTGATAATTTAAATTGGCTATTATAATGAGTTTCTAGGCTGGACGTTTTGAGTGTCAGCATGAAAGGCTAAGGACTCTCACGAAGGGCTAAAGCTTGAAACATCCAGCTTTGAAATATTTATTATTGTTGCTTTTTCTTCCAACAAAGTTGTTACTGACTTTAGAAGAAAACCATTTTGTATTCGCATTTTTCAGTAAAGCTATTACCTCTCTTCCTGGGAAACCATTTTCTCCTCGATCACCTTTCAAACCCTGGTAAAAGAGAAGTAATCTTTTATAAGGCAAGGTAGTTCTGAGGTAAATACCAAAGTTCTGATTGGTTTTTACTTGGTTGGAATTTTGCCTTCCATGTGCTATGCTCTTAACTACTTATTAACCTCACTTTCGCGAGCCATACTGGGGAATATTGGCCCTCAGTTGTTTTTTAATGTACCTTGCTGCATTCGATCTGTACTACCACAACCTCAGGATGACCTTCCCCAGTATGGCTCTTGTATTCGGTTAGTAAGAGATTAATACTGGTGTAGATAAGCATGACATAAAAACCCTAATACAGAAAGAGAAGATCATCTTATACCATTCTGCCCTGCTCGCCCTTTTCTCCTTGGACACCCTCAGAGCCTGTTTCACCCTTTATTAAGAGTAGGCAGTAAAAGAAAACAGATTTGATGTAATTTTTGTGTCAATGAAAATGATGATAATAATAACAACAACATAACTATATTGATGATAATAATTATAAAATGATAAGAATTATGTTTATGATAGTAATAACAATAACGGTAATACTTGGTTGTGTACGTTTGTCCAGTTGGGTTTTTTATGAGATGGTAGCACCCACTCATGAATCATAATAGCAATAATTCACTACATGATATTTACAATTAAATACAGTTCCTTACCATGTCACCGGGAAGCCCCTGTTCTCCTGTTTCACCACCAGGTCCCGCTCGACCCTGAAAATGAGGCATATTGATACTGTTATTTTATTTTTCTAGCAACTGCTTTTGGCTTTTTTTCTCAAACAGCCTAAGATACAAGTGTCTGCAAAAAAGAAGCAAGGATAACATTATTTAAAGGCCTTCTCAAATAAGGTTCTGATTGGGTGTGTAGATGCATCTCAGCCAACACCTCGCATTGTTAGAAAATAGAATCCCTTTGCTATTTGTTATTTCTATGTATAAGAGGATAAATATTATGAAGGATAATCTATCGGTGAACTTAACAGGGCTCACCAATTGCCCTGTGGCTCCCACTTTGCCTGGCTCCCCAGCTGCACCCCTGTTTCCCTAGAAAGAGATGCTACGAATAAGTATTCTGATTATTTTTAATAAAGGAGGATCAGCTGCTCTACATATTTCCTCAACATCTTTTCAGTTTTCCTTACTGTACCCTCAGTTCTGCTTATTACCTTAGGGCCACTTTTACCGGTCAAACCAGGTGTTCCAAGTTTTCCTTGAGGACCCTAAAATCAAATGTAAATGAATACCTTAGCCATAACTGACGTTAATGGGGCATTGACTCTGATCGATCGATTGCTCAACAAATGCAAATAATGTTGTTAGACTGCAAACTCTTGATATGTTTATTCATGGCTATGGTTTTCAGCACTTCAAATAACCTTGGCTACGCATCACTCTCTTCCTTGCCAGGACGGCCAGAGAGACTAAAAAGATAAAAGAAATTTCTTGAATCCGGTGGGTCATCTTACCCGTTGTCCTTTCTTTCCTGTTGATCCCATCAGTCCTACCACACCAGCCAAACCCTAAAATTGCATAATTTGTATAAACCATGTTCATATTAAGATACAAATCTACAAGCTAAGATGTTTTTTATCGGGCTTCAACTTGCAATCTGAGGTTCAACTTACACCCTTCCCTTGTCTACCAGGCCGACCATTGTCTCCAAGTTCTCCCTACGAGCAAATGGAAAAGATAAAGAAATAATCATGTTTATTTTAAATTGTAACTGGATGGAGTCTTAAACCTTAGGTTAAAATGCCACAAAATCAGGTTTGTGACTGTGTCGTACTGATTTCCATCGAAATCATCATCATAGCCATTATCCGGGAATTTTCCTTGTAAGCGTGAAATGTGTGACCATTAGAACCCTTAACAGGACTTAACTTCTACCCGCGTTATTAGTATCGTTTATCAAATAAACTGCGGTGTTTTACATGGATTTCCAGCCTTCAGAAAAGCCGCAATAATGCGATAGTTTTTTTACGTGTGTTTGATATCGCTATGCAGCGTCGATTGTCAAATTCTTCTCAGATTATGGTTGTCAAAACACTGAAAAATTCATATTGCTTACAGGCTGTGACGTTCAAAATTTCCCAGGCCGAAAACAAAACCAAAATACAAAAAGAAAAACCGAAAGTTACGTACTAAGTGCCTTTCGTAATAGCATTTCTGGCGGCTGAGAACGAAAATCGACAACTGGAAGATTTGCCACAGCCGATTTTGGCCGTTTACCTAAAAATATTTATTCTGTCAGAAAGGAAAAAGTCGACCCCTGTCGAATTTTTGTAAATTGGAAGTTACGGCAATTGTTTGTTTTTGTAATGATTTAACACATTTTTTCATCTTGAGCCTTATCGAGAAACGAACTTTACAATTTTTTCTTCGGGGGTGGATCTCACTTTTTTATTCATTAATAGAGTGGACTCTTTTCGTCTTTAAGGGTTATTTTGTTCATGTAATAAACAAAACAATTCAGGTTGCTTGTAGATATGGAATTTCTCTTCTCCTGTTTAACTGGTTATCTTACTCGATCGTTGCGCTCACCCGTGAGCTATCGGGTTGAACACTCGAAGATGAACTATATACGCACGCCATGTATTATTCAAGTCCTTCAACTTACAGGGATTCCAGGCGTCCCTCCTCCTCCCAGCTGACCACGCCACCCGCGGAGACCCTGGATTCAAGCAGGAAAATTTTTATTTCGTAAAAGATTCTTGCGTATAACTTCGTGGCTCTCAGAGAGAACTCCTGTTTCGCTTTATCACCGGTATCGCTTTACCGATAGAACACTTGTACAACAATGATTCCTAGTATATACATCTACATTTCCAGGTTTTGCCTTTAGATATCTTTGAAAAAGTGTGTAGCTGTACTGTAAGGTATGATAACTATGAACCGTTTATATCTTAAATGTTCTCTCCCATGCAATCTTTTCCTTTCCTTTTCTTTTGTTCTGTTTTGTTTTCCTTGTTATTATTATTTTTTTCTTTTTCTTTAATCAAAAGATCAGTCTTCATCGTCAGGAGCACGAGTTCAAATAAAAATGAATGAAATCATCAATAAAAGTAACTAGAAGTAATGCTCAACACTGACGTAGTTCCTCGTCATTCAACAAGATGATTTCTTACAGCAAGACCGGGTGATCCTGGAGGCCCTGCTCTTCCTCCTCCGCCCTATCAAGGGAGGGAAAGAATAATAAACAGGATGTGAATTTTGACCAATAAGGCCGTTTGTCTTTCTTTAAAGGGGAATTTTGTAGTTTCCCAAATTGAATGCTTAGCTTCCTTACGTATGTTCGCTTGTTGACAATAGGTGACCCGCACCATCACACCACAATAGCAACCATTTATTATAAGATACTCACACCTATCAATGACTATTTTTTAATATAAATAGGAATTGACCACAAAAGGAACAGCACCTTCAAGTTATTGATAGTAATGATAGTTATCTATCCCGGCAATGTTTAATTATAATAACTGTAAACATGTTGGTTACTTTGGTTCCCTTACTGCCGCGCTCTCCTCTGTTTCCTCGGTGACCCATGGAGCCCTAGAATTTAAAAAAAAATTAACTTTTAACAGCATTTCCTAATGTTACAAAGTAAAAAGAGCAAAATCGTTATGTCCAGACAAATGTATGATAATTCGGTAATTTCACCATTTTAGAGTTTGTCAAATTTACCAGGAACAACACTGATAGTGATGAAATCCTATTAAGCCATAGTATAGTTATTGTGCCACGACTGATGTGTGTGGACGTTAATCAGAATGCTTTTCTGCGATATCTAGTTAACCATAATAACGGAAAAACAACTTAAAAATGGTGAAGCATTTACACTGAAAGACAAGATAGCGATATGATACCATAGCACCAGTTGATCCTTCTCTTCCATTCAGGCCTAGGTCACCAGATATTCCCTGTCAACACAACAAAAATAGATTGCAGCACAAGTAGAATTTCGATAGATCGTTTGAATAGTAACGATGTGCATGATGCTTTTTCTCAAAATAACATAAATTTAACTTCAATTGGCAGTAATGTCGCAATCCGATTGGCCAATTTGCCGTTGTCGATAAGAGTACAGACAATGCTGCTCGCATCAACGTGTCACACAATGCCTCTATCAGCTTTCAAACATGGATCACACGCACTGAAAGAATTAATTGACGTCGATATTCCGATAAAAAACAAATAGAAAGTGGTTTAGCGTGGTCTTTCTTCTTATCGACGATACTGTCATCACAGTGGTCAAAATTTGAACGAAATGTAGTCAAAATTTTGTGGGCTCACTCGGTTGCGCTTCATAAGTTCGCAACATTTTGACCACCGTGATGACGAATATCGTTGTCGATAAGAGTACAGATCACGCAAAACCACTCAATTTCCGCATGTTAGTATCACTAAGTTTTTGTAGTTTTTCAAACAAAAATCTCACTTCACTTCCCCTGACGTTGTCGGAACGTCACTGAAACCGACAACAGTCCTTTTAAGGGCTGCTTTCATCCAGGGCCCAGTTGTATAAATGGCGAATAACGCTATCCAATATAACGGATAACGCTATCCGGCGAATAAGTGATAGCAAAACGTATTGCGCTATCCAACGGATAGAGTTTTATCCAGTGGATAACGTTATCCAACCTTTGAACAACCGGGGTCAGATGATTACGCACCACGGGCCACAGTTAAAGCCCTAGGTAAGTAGAAATGGCCAGTTGCTTGATTTAAAAAAATACTTAAGGAAGTCCTTACGATGACATTGACATGATCTCAAAGGAAAGCTTCTGATGTCCTCTTCTTTTAATTCTGCCTTTGACTTTTAATCGTGAGAAGATCACTTTGGGCTAATCTTGAAAGGGGGGAATTTATTTATCCTTGCTGGTCATTAACTGTAGTAACGACAGATCATATGTAAGACTCACTCACTTGATCTCCTTCACGACCAGACTGACCCTGTGGTCCTGGATTACCTTGTTTTCCCTACAGTGAGAGAAAAACGAAGGAAGTACAAACGTCTTCAATCAGCATGACTGTGAATCTCAAGCTTTTCATAGAGCCTTTGTCATTCTCTACCCCTTACCTTAAGTCCACGTCCTCCTGGCAAACCAAGACTCCCAGGAGCTCCGTGCCGACCCTAAAAAGACAAAGTAAGTGGTAGTTATTGCCATAGAACCGGACAAGGTAAATTTCTGAAGTTGTCAAATGTAAGTTTAACATGCACATTGATCGGCATAGTTTGACCTGAATCAAGTAATTACTGATGTTTTGTAGTCGTATTTATTTGCGTTCCTTTCAATTTTGTCAAGTTTATCCCGATTGCTTTCCCTGATAGGACTACATTCGAACCTGTAGGGATGGATAATGACGCAGTGACAATTTTTTATAGGTTCCATAGAATGGGGGTAATAAACAAAAGGATGAAAACGCCATTCTATTCCATAATGGATCACTTAGTGTACAAAAACTCGCTCAAAGTACTACTAACTTTGATTTCGGGAGATGAACATGGATTTAATTTTACTTGAGAGATTATTATTATTTAAGTGGTTCCGTTCTAAGAGACCGTTCAGTACAGGTGGAGGACAATACAAACAGGCCGCTAGGAGTCAGTCAGGGGTTACCACGACCGCTGAATAGAGATGAAAATGATTGTGATTAAGAAGCAAAATTTCGGGACTTTGAAAACTTAACACAGGGTGACCACTTAATACGGTGCTGTTTAATATTGGTTCGACTGTAGTTTATTCCTTTTCTTGACTAGTTTTATGTAAGTTAAATGGCGAAAACCCAATAAAGAGGGTTATTTAATTGATTCTGATATCTTCATTGTAATTATTTGTAATTATTTTGCTGCGGTTCATTTAAAGAATGGTGGTCTAATCATGCCAAACTTTACGGTGAGAATTTTCAGACGGGACCAGCTAAAGAGGAAAACAGACCGTCAAAGACTGCATGTGGCTACTGGTATAGTATTGAATAGAAACAGAGGTTGTATAATGGCGCCACAAGGTAATGCTGCAGAATTAGATTTGTCTCACATGCAAAACAGAAAACTTGCTGCAACCCACATATCAAAGAGTGCCCTGTTCCACAAAAAATTATTCAAGAATATATTGTCTAATTGACATTTAACCAATAATTAAATGGTAACGAATAATAATATTAACAATAGTAATAATGATAGGAATAGTTATATAAAAACTATTTAAAGAGGCTAGATCGAAAGTCTTATGCTCTCCTATCCCGCTCTGAGCCCCAACAATGATTAGAGTTAGGGTTCTTCTTTTAATTTCGCCCGTTAATTATGTTATTTTCTTATGTAATTGAATTTGAATTTTTTGAGACTTTTACTTCATACAAAAAGGCATTCCATGTTTTAGAATATTCCGTCATTCCGCGTCTTAAGATATTCTGCTATTCCGCCTATCCACCGTTCCTCCGTTTTATTATTCTTTTAATTAGCTCAAGGTATCGTATTTTGCAGCTTGCTCGCTTGGCAAATTTAGCGGCTATTTTCGGCATAACAGGGTGATTTAGTATAACCAACTGAGTTGATAACGTAAGTTGGTCACCGTAAAGAGTTTAAAAGCTAACGTTTCGAGCATTAGCCCTTCGTCAGAGCGATTTGCGAAGGGCGAGCGCTCGAAGTTTTATTACTAACTAATCATGCAATTTATAATTTATAGAATGATAAAGGAGGCGTTATTTGTTTAATGTCGCTTTGAAATTCCCCATTTTGAAGAAAGCCCCAATTAAGAGTCAGTACACTGTTTCTATGGTGATCGAAACCAAGGTTGTGATTGGTTGATTTAAAGTACAGCTTTGAACGTGATTGGCTTTTTGAACTATTCGAGAAAAAATTGTCTGGTGACAAATTGGCAAGTGAATTAGCGCTCTATGAACAAGACTGGGTCAAGATCGGCGGGAATGCTATTGTTACACTCACCCACTCTTTCGACGACATATGTGGTTCGCCTCCTATAGGAGGCAATAGCCACAAAAAAAGCTTCGTTTAATTAGTCTTTCCTAGGTGCCATGGATATTTACTCGAGGGCTATGTTGTAAATAAAAGTAAAGATGATCAAAAGGCCCTACCGTTGTTCCTTTATCCCCAGGTCCTCCGCGCGCTCCAGGTTCTCCGTAGTTACCCTTCAAAGTGCATAACATCAAGTTAGTCTGATGTCTCTTACTCACCGTGCACTTACTTCAAAGCTACCTATGCGTACTTGTGATGTTATTTCATTTTAAACACCGTATAACGTGGCTTCTTTTGTTTGGCTTGTGCTTATTTTGTTAAGGTAAAGCTGCAACAGAGCGTATTATGTATTTTATGAAACGTTATCCTTATCATACTGTCCGTCTCCCACCCCCTCAACCTAGAATATTAAAGCGCAAATACATTGTCAAATTGAATGAATTCCCTCAAACGACAAGTTATATTCATAAAAAGACACACGAATAAGATACTAAACATTTGACACGACACAAACAGCCAATCAGCTACAAAGAATGTTGCTCCATTGGAGCCAATAAACAAATCATACCAGTGGACCGTCTCCTCCAGTTGGCCCTGCATCTCCAGGAATTCCCTATTTCAAAATCAGCATACAAGAGTGGTTAAAAATAATCTTAGTTGCTGAGAAAAAATGATCACTTAAAGCAACTTTTAAGATACGATCCAAGCTTTGTTTTAGAAGTATCAAGGTGTCGAATTACCCTTTCTCCAGAAGGACCTTGACTGCCTTCGAGTCCATTGATACCAACTTCACCCTACAGAAGTTGATGACACAAAAAAAGAGTTAGATAACGGGTTCCTGTTGGCCTTTTGGGAAACATTCTTGTAACATTCTTTTAAGAAGTTTTTATAATTGGTATATCTTTTAGTAGTTAGATAACTACACTTATTTTTTTTTTGAGAGGGCACGGTAACGAATCTTGCAATCTGATTGGTTCTGTACGGTCATTATTTTCCTATCTCTGCCCACGAGCCACGGTAACGCTTTCGTGAGTGGGTCGGCTGGGCAGTATTTTAAGCAAACACGTCGGTCACCACCTAAAGCCGATGAATAACTTATGAATCTTCTCTTTTCTCTCACTCAGATCGCTTTGGTTCACAGAAAAATATTGGTTTCAGAATGAATTTGTATAAACAATAGTGTCATTACCTTGGTTGACAAGCGGCCTAAAACCCGTCTGCAATTAATTTTAATCGTTCACAACTGAAAACTGAACGATGGAACTTTCATTCAATTAATACCTGAATTTTCTCAAGCAATTTGTTCGCAGTGAAAGAGCGAGCGAAGTTTTAATTTAAGTTCTACAACAAACATACGCTCTCGGTGAGTTTTTCCAGGTCCGTTCAATTTGAACATTTGTACCGTAAATTGCACAACAGAAACTGAAGGAA